ACAGATCACGCCTTCAGATGTCTTCAGATGTCTTCAGAGGTATTCAGAGGTCTTCAGATCACGCCTTCAGAGGTATTCAGATGTCTTCAGAGGTATTCAAGAGTCTTCAGTTGTATATCAGACACCATAGCGTTCACATCATGGAGCCCCATTCATCAGAGCAAGCATTAGATAAATATCACTGTGCAGATTATGATAATGCTTATGGACCGAAATATCTTGACGGCAGATGGACACTTGGACATAAGAATCTACGCTTTGAGGACCAATACATAGGCGTAGATAATGTCGATTTTAAAAGTACTCTGGGTCTTTTGGAATTATTATTTTCCAAAAACCCTCGAAATTACACGCCTCTGGATCACCAGATGTATAAACAGATGCTAGAAATCAGCTCTATTCATAGAGATCGATTAGGGCGATTACGAGGACAAGCTGATAAGGAGAAATTCGATAAAATTATCAGACCCCTCTTCAAAAATAAGACCAAGCCTAAACATCCAAAGTCGAGCGTGGAGCCTGAAGCCAGTATTGGGAATGAAGAGTACAATATTTTAGATGAATGGACAGATCCGAATATCTTGGTGGATAGACTGAGATATTTAATGGAATCAGATAAGAACAACAACGAGATCGCCTTTATTCTTACTGAACTTGAAAATGTTGGTATAATATCTAAGAAATAAATGATGTCAAAATTATCCGTTTTTTATTCAACACCTGCTAGGCGAGTAGACTCACAATGACTACTCAACTTGGCATACAAAAATATATATTTAAAAACCCTGTATAATGACTGGTAGGTAGTGTGATGAAATCATAAACTTTTTTATATGCATTATGGATACCTATACATCACAGAACCATTCATATCACCATAATTAATACATAAACATTTTTCAAATAATTTCTAAGATCTAATGTGTGAACGAAAGGCTGAAAATTGATCCATTTTCTTGATGTGTAGTATTAGTTTAGATGCAAATCCTCTTCTCCGATACTCCATCATAGTATAGATAAAATTTAGAGTTTTCGGTCTATTATGTTTTCCCAAAGGGTCAAAGTTCATGCTAGACATTAGGGCAAAAAATGTCGGAAACCCGTCCACACAAATAATATATAACAGGATATGTTCTGATCTTGATACCACTGATTGATCAATACATCTGTCATGACGTCATCATCTTCCATTGCCCGATTTTCTTTACAGCTTTTGATCCATGAAAGAATACATTTTTTTCCATTGTGTAGATTGACTGACATTTCACATTATTTATTTTTGTAATATAGCTTGATTTAATCACGTGATTCCATTTCCATTCACTTTTCGCGATATCATACATAGGGCTAATCTCTAGAGAAAAACGAAAAACAGTGTAAAAGCCTTTCTAGTTTTGAACGACACTGTATACCATCAACATAAACTTAAAAGTAGATTATCTATGATGAAAAACATTCGAATAACGAAACCACGCTAATTTAAGGGCATTTATAGTTTTGAGCCGCCCGGTATACCAATAACAGAAGATTATCTATGCAAAAACATCTAAATGCAATATCGAATAGCATTAGCCTGTTGTAGATTATGGTTAATGATATCTGCATGGCTCATTTCCAGCGTGATAAGAGTCCGAACAGCTGTTTTTGTTTGAATAACATGAATAAGAAGTTGGATGGGAACGTCAAGACCACTCATGTATGTTGAGATTATACCTACTCATTACTAGTTCATACCCACAACTCATAATATTATTGCTTATATTCTGTTTGTTCTGATTTCGAAATATTCTACAGGTTACACTCGGTAAAAATAATAATAAAATTAATAATATGATGCGAAAGCTAATATGATGTCCATATAAAATAATATATAAGGTGTCTCAAACACAACGTAAGGTATTTGAGGGCAACACTTTGAGGAAAAAACTACACAGGGTGTTTCTATATATCGTGATTCCTCACTATATTTTTTCGGAATGGAACACTGATATTTGATTCGTTTCAGAGATACAGGCTGTTGCATAAACTTTTTGAAATAATTATCACGATGGTCTAATGAATGCTCCGTTTCGAAAAAACAATAAATAATTTTCTCTAAAATTGTTCTAAAATTGTTCTATCTATCATTCGGTTACTTCTCCTAACGAGCAACCCTCAGAAGTCTTCAAGAGACTTGTGCGAGCAAGGAATGACGGGGCCCTTATACCTTTTAATGTGTGATCCCAAAACACTTTCTTGGGCCATCAGAAAAATTTCTGTAGTTGCTGGGAATCGAACCCACGACCGGTAAGCGAATGCTGATTATCAATATTGACACTCTGTCCGCACGGCTACCTGACCAATATTTTCAAGAGGAATAGCAGATTGAAACATTACAGCGACTGGAACGAATAGAAGAGCGCTATAGAAATATAAAAACTTACTTTCTTAGATATCGGCAGTTTTGGCACTACACAAGATTGCTATCAGATGTGACTAGGTGTTGATTTTATGTGGCTGTCTAACTGTAATGTGATACCTAAAAATCAGAGATCAAACAACATCAGTGAAAATCTCTTCATTTCAAATGTTTGAAATAGAATGAGTGAATTATGATGTGTACACGAAGAAATGAATCGATGAAAACACACAATGACATTCACTTTTCAATATGAAAAACATCGAAATGAATTATGATATGTACATCAACAATGAAATAATTATTAAAGAAAACATATCATGCAATATTATTCGCTCTTAGAAATAAAAACAAAAAAATTACTTAAAGAAATTGCATTACCAGGTGAATATAAAGAAAAAAAAAAAACTTACTTTTATTAGGTATCAGCAGTTGGCACTACACAAGATTGCTATTAGATGTGGCTATAGGTGTTGATTTATGTGGATGTTGAACGTTGACTGAATTTTGTCAGAGCGCTCCGCTGTTATATATCAAGGTGGTAGAATGAAAACATAATGTTTCTCACATAATATGTTGTCTTCTGATAAGAGATTGTTTTTTTCCCATTTCTTGTAAAATTTGTTTTTTCTTTCAAATGATAAACTTGTTTTTCTATTATAATATCTTCCTATCAGTAATTTCCTGTTATTTGATTCAATTCAACTTCAATACTTATTCATATTCCCGTTCAACGCTGGGAAAAAAATCGAAACTAGCTCTTGCCTTGTTTTTTCCACTTCTTGTAAAATTTGTTTTTTTCTTCCAAATGATAAACTTGTTATTCTATTGTAATATCTTCTTATCACTAATTTCCTGTTATTTGGTCATATTCAACTTCAATACTTATTCATATTTTCTTTTGACGCTGGGAAAAAAAAATCGAAACTAGCTCTACTATGTCATATCCAAAGAGACTATTTCATATGATATTTCCAACGCATTTAGAGCGATATCTTGTAAACTTTGAGACTTTGCATATAGGTAAGTTGCCATTTTTGGAATGTATATTGTTCATTGCTATTCAACTCAACCGTCTTTTATATTGAAGGAAATCATGAGCTTGCGTTAGCTGTCTAATTGAAATAACTGTATTCAGTAATTGATAATAAAAATCAGGTTATTCAACAAAGTATCACACCTAAACATGGCTAACCTCTAGCGTTCATAACCTCCTAGCACCCTTAATCTATATGCGGGGTAGTCTACCTGCCAGGTGCTTGATTGGTTTTGCTTTCGGCAAGCATCGGGGAATATAATCAACGGTATACGTAGCGACCGCCTATCAAATGTCATAAGCCATCTGTCGGCTGTCGAATGTTCAGCGAGCACCAGAAGGTCATGTGGTATACCTCGTATGTCATATATCGAATGTGTTATGTTAGTTGTCATCCGCTGTCGTACTTTAGGTGTTATAGCAGTCTCTGAGCATGACAAGAAGTGGGGTGGTCTACCCGCGAGTCGCCCTATATCTATAACTCAAACACTCTGTATATTGAACGGAATCAGCAGCTAGTGCGTCATACTTTACCTATCTGTTTTGCCGGGTCCATCTGAACATACTGCATATTGAATGAAATCATCAGCGGGGTAGCCAGCTAGCAAGTCGCCTGGTCACGTGTCATTGATCCTGTCAACGGCCTTCTATCAAACGTCATCTGCCATACGTCATACGTCAGCTATCTGTTTGCTTAGCCCACCTAAAGTGTGGTGGTCTACTCATGAGTTGCCCTATAAATTTTCTCAATTTTTATTCAACTCTCACACCCTGTATATAAATATTCAATTTTGTTATTGAACTGATGGCTTGCGAGGTAGCTAGCTTGCAGGTCGCCTAGACACGTGTCATCGAAAGTTTGATATCTGTCAACGAACATCTGTTATACGTCATCTGTCATGCATTACCTATCTGTTTGCAGAGCCCACCTAAAGTGTGGTGGTCTACCAGTGGGACAGCTGTATATATTTTTTTTTTTTCAATTTTCAATCAACTCAAACGCCCTGTATATATATTTTTTTTTTTTTTTCAATCTTCATCAACTCAAACACCCTGTATATATTTCTTTCAACTCAAACACTCCTTCCATGCTAAAACATGGGACCGTGAACCGTGGGACACTCTGTATATATTTTTTTTATTCAATTTTCAATCAACTCAAACGCCCTGTATATGAAAATTCAATCTTGTTATTGTCATCAAAGTGTTATTGTTGCGGTTTCGATAAGCTCGCGCCAGCGTGGAATTAGCACCTTGCGGTTAGGCGGCAACATCAAAGGGTAGAGATTTTCCCACGGTCCTCGAAATTTTCCCAGGCCATAGTAAGGCCCTACCTACTATTCTCCTATAGGATAGAATTCCTACAGATTCGAGAATCTAGCGCCTCCTGGTGTGTGATGAGAACTCGACCTTCCTGCTGATTGATCAACGAATGTCCCGTTAGCTCAATTGGCAGAGCGTTGGGCATGTAAGCCAGAGGTTGTGAGTTCGACTCTCACGAAGGGCAGTGGAGTTTTTTATTTTCGTAGTCACTTCTCATCATCTTCATTATTGTTGTCTATTTACCTGTCAGACTGGCCAAGCTCGACTGCGACGGGGACGGAGTTCTGAGCTCGCTGAGCGCATGCGCGGCAGCCGGGGACGAGCACCGCATATCCAAAGAGGCCGTCCTGAGGGGCGAGGGCGACCTGCTGGATGCCCTCAGAGGGTAGCTGGAAGAGTGGGCGGCCTCGTGGTGTAACAAGGGCGTTTTCCCGTCCGGGGCGAACGTGCGGATTTGGGGAGACGAACCACGGTGTCCCTGCGGAAAATAAATAATATGGGTTTGAGAAGGAAGAAGACTATTCAACAGAAACCAACTTCTATCCTTGCTATTTGCCACGTCGAACATTGAATTATAGGTATCTGTTGAACATCCAAAAAGAGGAGCTGAAGATACAAATCCCCTAAAATTGAGAATTGACATTCGCTTTCAAATCGGATAAAGAATATGATGCATTATGATTTAGAAATATAACTTACCAATATAATCAGTATTGAAGTGCATATGAACATATTCCCTGAAACTCTTAACTTCCGAGCTATAAGGTGTTAACATTTTATTTTCTTTTTATTAGTACCCTCCATACCGCCTTCTTTTTCAGAGCTCCGATACCAGCAAGGCAAATCAGAAACGAAAGAGGGAGAAATGTTGACAACATTAATATGGACTTGGCAACAATTCTCGAAAAGGGATCTAATACCTTGGTAGATTTCAATGCAAACAAAACACAAGCATGCCTTTCCTCTAGAAAAGCCCATCTCACTATGCCCAACAAACTTGTCAGGTGTAACCATACATTTGAAAACATCCATTTTGATACTTGGTATTACTATCAGCAATAACCTTTCTTGGGGAAATCACGTGAGATCAATTGCTTAAAGTGCATCCCAAAAACTTGGTTTTGTGTTTCGGGCTAGGAGCTATTTTTTTTTGCAATTGCAATTCACTTTCAGTCAGCTACTAATGATCTATAAGGGACAGATCCGACCTGTCCTGGAAAACTGTTCCCATATTTGGGTTGCAGCACCCAAACATACTCTGAAACTGTTGGATTCTGTCCAAAAAAAAAGGGCAATACGTCTCGTGGGTAATGCCTCGCTCACAAGTTCACTCTATTTTCTAGATATTTCCATGGGCGATGCTCTCCTGAAATATCAACAATTGTTCCTCCCTTTGCAGTCCCCGCGAGATTAACCCGTCAAGTTGAGGCTTCGCACTCCTTCGTGGTCACTTTGGAGACCTGAAGAACATCTCTTTCCAAAGACTCGTACATCTAACGAATAGCGAGGCTCTGTAACACATTGCCAAGGGAGGTGTTCCCCGAAGCATATAGCCTCCAGAAATTCAAGAAGAACACCAATTCCTACCTTATTTCTGGTTCTCACGATGTTCTCTGAACATTACAGGATATCCCTTTTCGTGGGAACCAGAACACAAAAAAAAACAATGTGAAAAACTTTCACGTTTATGAATAGGTAGGTAATTGGCAAAATGAGACCGCAACGTAAACGATCAAATGTCATTATTTGAATACAAATGCATGAAAATAGTTCCAATTTTCTTGAGCGAAAACGGTGCAACGGAAAGGAAAAACTTCTAGGGATTCATCTATTCATCCTGTTAGGATAAAAATTTAAATATCAAATTTCAATTTTAGTCAAATTCAAATTTCAGCGAACAATCGATTCTCTGTAGTGTACATCAAACTGGTACTAAAATAATAATTGGTAATTTTGCACATATCATGCGATGGGTTTTTTTCCGAAATTTTTTTTTGGTACTTACGTATTTTTGTCTGAAAAACACGGATTTGATAATGAAAATGTGAACAAACCATTATTTATCAAGATATTTCACTATAAAGTTACAAATTTCACCTTCTTTTCCGCCTGTCTTTGGACCGCAATTATAACAATTTGCCCTTCTTTTTCCATCATCGGAAAATTTATATATATCACACAATGTTGGACACATTTTTTTTATTATATGAGTCAACTAGAAATATGATTTTCTTGTGAATTTATCCATGTTTAGTAAAAAGAAAGAAGAATATCATTTGAAATAAAGGCGTGTGTAATGTCATTCCAAAGCAATCTATTGACATTTGACATCATGTATTTGGATTGCCTATGAATTAAATGGCCGTCATCTGGTATGCTTGCTCACTAAATAGGAAAAACTCGCCATGAAAATCATATTTTCTGTTGAATTTTCTAGCTTGAAATGGGTAATTGAAGTAACATCATGAGTATATAAAGTGTCCAATGACAAAATAAAAAGAGCAAGTACCTGTAAATGCATCCAACACAAGGGGGAAAATAAGGCAAAATTTCGAACTTTTTCTTGGAATATCTCGATAAATAGTGATTTGTTCACATTTTCATAATCAAGTACCAAAAAAATTTTTCGAAAAAAAACCCATCGCATGATAAGTGTAAAATTACCTAATAATTTCATTGTTAATTATTTTTTGTAATCATATTATACATGTGAACAATAATGCTTCTTGGGATAATGAAGCCAATCAATTAAACTTCAGGTAGAAGCAAGCTTACTCTTGCGCTTTATCAAAGGTGTCTTGTCTTCAGGGTTTTGCTCATCTATCACAAAATGTCTCGCTGGTTCATTGATTTTCTCTATTCGCAGGAGATTTGAATCTATAAATGTTCACGGTATCGAAAGGCAAGTATGATAAACTCCTGGAAATATACTACTGAGTCAAAATCAATATATTTTTATCTTTTATGACCTGAATGAAAAAATTCCTTACAATAATACACTTATATCATTGGAAAGTTAATGTGCATCAGTGTTATTCGAATCAAAACGATTCGAGAGAACCCAGATTCATGCAAGTATAATTCATTCAATGTCAATTGAAACGCCTTGAGCTGCGCGTGCATTCACTTCAAAAGGAACTTCCAAACCATCGCGTTGCGGAATATGCTCCAATAATTGACTTTGGATATACTATAACTCGAGAATATATTTCCAGAACTTCATGCCGTGTTGGAACATCATTCTTCGATGGATTGTCAGATATGCTTTCTCAGAATTTCCAATATCTTCCAGCTTCTCTGAGAAGTGCAGCGTTTGTAGTCTTTGTAGTCCCATCATAATACGAATTCCAGATAAAGTTGTTATTGAAATTGTAATAATGAATCAAAAAGGCATGAAGTTATTTGAAACACAACTTCATTTCAATATATCATCAACAATGTAGTAGTATGTCATGCTGAATTTCGGACAGTTATATCTGGAATTCCTATCAGAAAAATTATCAGAGAATCAGCAATATCTTGCAGATCAAGCGGTTCTGGAGTATCAGGCAGATGTTCATTGAAGTAGATCTCATAAATGAAAGAGGATAAACAGAGTTGCCCCAATAGTAAGCAGGAGCGAGATAGTTCTATTTCGGCCCACCAGGCCTTATCGAAGACGCCAGATAATATATGAAGATATTTTTGGCGGAAATGATGAACAATTCATTTCTCCAATGCAGGTGTCCATGATATGCAATACAATGGCTCTGATTTTTTTTTCCCGAAAACGAAGCTGGATATGAAGAAAATACAAGAGACCAAAAAGTTGTATTCCGAGTTGCTCAATCTTAGAAAAAATGAGAATTCCCCAAAAAAGTCAGTAGCGTACTTTTTATCACAATATTGTTGGCTGTGGTGCCCACTGAGACGCCACTGGATCCAATAATTTCAATCTAAATAGAGCTAAATGAGCGCCTTATCAGTTCAAATAAAAGTACCAGATTTCAACCAAATCGGTTCCAGGATATTCATGATATTTTATAATTACCGTTTTTTTTCTTTAATTTCAACGCCCTGTATCTCAGAAACGAAGCAACTCCGGACATAATGTTGATGGAAACTTTTCTTACTAAAATGACCTAACGGATCACCACCTGCAGTTCGGAACCGTAGTTAGGAAACACCCTGTATTTCAAGGCGCGAGTAGTTGAAGGTTGAACTTGTGGCGTACTCCTAGTGTTTTGCATTGTACATTTCACATTATCTATTATGTCCACCGTCTCTTATTTCATATTTTTTATCAATACACCCTTGTAATATACTATATTTCTAACTGAATGAATAGAATTTGAAATTTATTTGTAAGCCACATGAGAATTTCTTGTGCGCGCGGTCAATACTGCCTACTTTTAATCAGCTTTTTAATTAAGTTGAATCATCCTATTTCCTTGCTGCAACTTGCTCTAGTGCCCAGCAATCCGATTAGTGGTTTCCAGCCATAGGCGTAGATATGAGGACAGAAGGGACCGCCTATACATGAAATGTGGAAAATTCAATGAGACAATGAGGAATTTGCAATCTCATATCGTGGTTCTATAGTGTGAAGTTCAGATGTGTATAAGACGACTGAACCACACTTACCTTCGTATACAGTACCAAGGATTTCTTTCAATACTTCAACCGAGATAGGTAATGTAATTTTGTTGGTTTATTGATGAAAATAATTTCAATCAGAAGCAATAATTCATGAAAATTGGATTGAATCCTGTTGAGTATGCCACTGGTCATGTTTCAGTAATTTCTTTAAATAAGCTCATACATTCCAAAATCAGGAAGATTTGGTTGGTTCAGAAGTTATTCGAAAACATTCAATATCTGATTTTGATAACAACCATCAAGAACATATCAAGTGACATTTCAATAAAATAATTATACCATAACGCAAATCAAGTGGAAGATCTCTTTGGATAGGGAATCAGAAAACCAAAATTTGCTATTGATCCACTATTTTTCATGAAACACCTCCGTAAATATTGGAATAGCATTTTGAAATATACAAGAGGTGATCAAAATTGAATTATTCAGAAACTGAAATTATTCCGAGAAATAATTTTTTGATGACCCGATTCTAAAACCTATGAGATGTTCAACCAATCTTGCCTCCTATAATATCATTTTCCCCCTGATGTCAATTCCATTTGGTTTTGCGAGCAGTGTAGGTGATGCAGGTCTATCACTTCGCATGACTACGCAATAGTTAATGTAATATTGTATCTATTTTATAGATATTTCCATGGACGATGGATGCTCTTCTGAAATATCAACAATAGTTTCGAGTTGAGGCTTCGCACCCCTACGTGGTCACTTTGGAGACCTGCAGAACATCTCTTTCTAAAGACTCGTTCATCCAACGATCAGCGATGCTCTGGAACACATTGCCAAGGGAGGTGTTCCCAGAGGCATATAACCTCCAGAAATTTAAAAAGAACACCAATTCCTACCCCATTTCCCTTGGTTCTCACGATGTTTCCTGAACATTGAAGAACATAGAAAAATCTAGTGAATTGGACCCACCTCAATTATTTCAGATGATATACGAGAAGAAACATAACGAATGAATATTTAAAAACTTCAGATTTCACATCGATAATTTTCTGATTTGATTATAATGCAATATTATCTCAATATTGATTCGTATTTTTCCTGTCACAGAAATAAATGGTGTTTTATACACGAGAAAAATTCAGAGCTGGACTTCAATTCAATTCAAATTCAAATTCAGACTCAAAATTATGACGTTTATAATGAAAATGAATATTTCAAGTCCGGATCTGGAAATTTCTTCATAGTAGGCTATCTCATGTCAGTAGAGGAAAGTTGCATGTGAATTTCAGGTGATGACATCGAGACATTCCTGAAATATCGTTCATCAAAGTTTCGCTTCGAATTCAGATATTGCCCTGTATTTCTGTTAGGAATAGGCAAAATATATTTTCCTCCGATTGGCAGCAAATATTAATTTTGCTGACACATATCAATCAGCAAAGTATTACTTTTCCTGCCTAGGCAGCAAAGTGGGTACTTTGCTGCCTAGGCAGCAAAGTGATTACTTTGCTGATTGATATGTATCAGCAAAATTAAAAATCCATAAATCGTTTATAATTTCCTTCATATCTCATCCGAGACTTCTCCGGCAACAAATGCAACTCTATATTTTTTGCCACCCCCCTTATTAATGGAGGTGTAAGTATACTTCCAGGTCGCTCTCACTGTCCATTATATAATAATTCAAATATACCGATATTTTTTCGCACAACTGTCAGAAATTTCATGAATTGTCAAACCAACAACTGCGATTTCTATCAAATTTTATTTTAATTGAACACTATACAGGAAGATTAAAGAGATTGTGGGAATTGTATTAATTCGCAAATACAATATTCTTCCATATCATTATGAACAATCGGAGAAAAAATTATATGTTCAACTCGGCAGCAAAGTAGATTGACTGCCTTAGCTGGATTCCTAGCCTCGCTACGCTCGGCTATGAATTCAGCCACGGCAGTCAATCTACTACTTTGCTGCCTAGTTAAACAAATAACTATTCTTCTCATATATATCAACTCACCTTGACTTTCTCTATCCGCCATCAGGCTATGGCTGGTTATTCATGACTCACCCTGTATACAGGGTGTTTCATAATTGAATGTTGATCCTAAAGGGCGATAGTCCTTGGATGATTTTAAGAAAAATTCTTCATGGAAACATAGGTCCGTAACAGCTTCGTTTCTGAGATACAAGATGTTGAAATTTAACAAAAAAATCAGTTATTCCCCAATATCTCTGAAACCGTTCTGGATTTTTTCTTTAATTTTGGTACATGCTAAGTATGCATAGAAATACCTTTTTTCCATAATGAAGGATTTCTTAATTTGCATCAGTGGCGTCCCTGTTAACATACCCTGTCATAATTTTCATCAAAATAATGATACGCCACTGTCTTTTTTCCAAATGAATATTATTTTTGTAATTATCCTCTATCTTCTCATGAAAATAGTCTCTTGTTTTTTTTTTCGTCCGGCGAACGGTTTTTGAGTTAGAAAATAAAATGCATTCATTTGCTTGTCCCTACGCGAAATCAGGCGTTGAAGAGTTGTAGGATTATCTTGTGGTCTAGAAACATCTAGTATGCTAAGAACACATTTCGTTGTTTTCAAAATGAACAATTTTGACCCTTTTTTAGCTAGATACGTGATATTATTCACATTATAAGAACTTGTTTATTAAAAAAAAACATGGTCAATTTTACAAATACCGAATTAGCAGACATGCATTACCTGTATGAGCTTGCTGACGGGAACGCATATGAAGTCCGGCGACTGTATCAAGAGCGCTTCCCAAATAGAATGGTCCTGATTTTCGAACGATTTCAAACACCCACAGAAGGTTATGTGAAACAGAAAGTTTTGAGCCAAACCATCACTTGAAAGGAGCACATTTGATTGCAAGAACTCCAGAAATTGAGGTAGCTGTTTTGAAAATCCTTTATTATGGGAAAAATGTATTTCTATGCATACTTGGCATGTACCAAAATTGAAGAAGAAAGCCAGAGTGGTTTCAGAGATATTGGGGAATAACTGATTTTTTCGTTAAATTTCAACATCCTGTATCTCAGAAACGAAGCTGTTACGGACCTATGTTCACATAAAGAATTTTTCTTAAAATCATCCAAGGATTATCGCCCTTTAGGATCAGCATTCAATTATGAAACACCCTGTATATCATCTCGTTATCAAATGAAGGTCAAAATTTGCAGCCAGCTCTTGGACTATAAAAACCTTCTAGTTTAGGCTAACCTGTTTAGATGCTGTACTATCCAGGCTACTCTGACTCGATACGCTGGGAGTCCTGCACAATAAAGGAGGCCCTCCAGGGTAGGACTTGGACTGATGTTGGAGGCTCGGTGGAGCCATGGAGGCCGAACAAACGTCCAAGGGTGTTTTCAGAATTTCGGCAGTCAGGGCCTGTGCAGAAGCGTTCTGGGGCGGTTGGATGTTCAGGTGTTCCTTTTCCACATTGAATTCCTCGAAAAAAAAATAACAAACTCCTTGATCTTTGATTACGATATTTTCTGAGAAAGTGTGTTGGAAATATAACAATACGAACGTGTATTTTTGCTCTACTTTTGTTTTACTTGAGAATTCTTGATTGACGGAAGTATGTCCAGAATAATAGCAGCAAATGAATCGCTGTGCCTTGGATTTGGCTCAAACTGAAGGGTTGCACAGGTAAGTTTTTGGAATATACCTTCCAATTGGTATGAAATCGCGAAATCGAGTGCAAATTTCCGAACAATAAAGTGCATTTTTTCAATCACTTTGCTCAGGAAAGTGATTGGCACAGGTACCTTTTGAAAAACTACAATATTTTTTTACAAGCATGCGTAAATCACCCTCTACCCGCACCCAATTTAGTTTGGAAAGTGTCATTTTCCTACTATAGTGCGGGAAAAGTTTTCCCACACAAGTGCGGAAACAAACAATCATATAATATTCTCGCAAAATATGAGTGGTGGGTGACACAATCTGAATATTTCAGGTTTTTTTTTTGTTGCAGTATCCCAGCGAGCACAAACATCCCTGGGATGTTTTGGGATGTTTTGAAAATGTTGGCATGAAGATGTTATTTTGAGACGTAATATGCACTGACCAAAGAGGTCTTTGAAGAATATCGAGGTATTTTTTGTTCTTCTGTGGCATTTCTTTGTTTGCCTACTGAGAGGTTTCCCTGGGATGTTTTGGGATGTTTCAGAAATGTAGGCATGAGGATGATTTTTTGAGGCGTAATATGCACCTCCCAAAGAGGTCTTAGAAGGACATTGAAAGTATTGTTTTTGTTCTTCAGTGCCCTTTCTTTGTTTGCCCTACCACAACGTCTCATGCTTACGTCACAATACGATGAATTCTGATTTGTTTTCGATTTTGTTCTTCTTTTTCGCAATTGGCATTCGCGTTTGCAGCGTGTCACGCTTACATCACGCTGCTAACTAACAGAAAAGGATTTGGTGAAGTTTATTGTGTTAGAAGACTTATTTAGTTTGTAATAATGACCATCATATGCAAGATGTGTTGTTCGGTGCCTCAGTGTAATAATATAATTATGAAAGTACGAATTTATCAATACACAGCTTCTCCGCAGTTGCAAAATTATGCATTGTGGAGAACATTTCAAAAATTGGGACACCTATTTCCAATTATATGTCTGTGTGTAGTAAGCACTACTCAGAAAGCGATTAAGAAGGTGATTTCATATCAAGAAAATATTTTTATGTTCAATCTATTTTTAATGCATTTTTTCATTCAAGAAAAATGGAATCCTAATGCAAAAGTTCATTTTGACAAAAGGCTTCAGAAAAGTACCTCGAAAATGTTTTCTTTACAGCGATTTAATGTGCGCCAGACGCGTTGAAAATGTTCTGTTGTGTCCATGAAAAGGCTTTAAAAAGAACTAGGGAGAAGGAAGTTTTGTGACATATCAAGGACATCTCGATAACTGCCGCCTGCGGTGGACATTGGCTGTTCTATAATAGTTCCATTCATGTGTGAACAGAACATCGCAGTGGAGGTTCAATGTATCGAAATCTCGTACTTTCAACATCTCTGAGATGTATTTGTGCTCGCTGGGATTCAGTAAGTTTGTACAAAATCATCAATCGAATTGCACTATGCATTGTGAAAATGGAGAAATATCGAGAAATAATAATTGATTCTTATATAAATCCCCATAATATATGGCCTTCAATTGATCTGATGTGGAACACAATTGTCGTCATGTCAATCAAAACACTCGTCGCACTAGCTCGAACTTTTTCGGCACTGAGTGCGTTTTGCGTGGTCCACTGAGAATTTCAAGAGCGAACTTCTGTCGAGAAATGATTTCCACTGGCTTCCAAACTTGCTCGATGCCCGCTCAGAGATCGAATTTTCAGAACTGTGCTTGTACGACGGTGCGATACACATAACCTCAAATATTCGAGTCACGAGTGGAAAAATGTTTGGAATTTGAATAATCATTAATGTCTCATTGTAGTTTATTACTATTATTACAATAATTTCCTAAATCACAGATACTTCGGATACAAGCGATGATGAAGAAATGATGATTGAGATACAGAAGTACTTCGTTACGAAACAGCGTTTACGGAAGATTCAAAATTAAATTAAAGCTATTCAGATGTGCAGGTATTAAACATATTTGATTGTTGATTCAGTAATGATGAAAAATACTGAATTCGTGAACGACACTTCAATGCTACATCACTATTGTCGAATGATTCAATTGAACATCATTATTGACAATGAACATTCATGTATAAGACTGTTTCTGGCTGGTTTCTGGCAGTGTTCACAGGGAAACCACAATAAGAGGTAGATGAATCCATTTCATGTGGACCAATGGAACCAAATGTACTTTCAATAATTCAACTTTTTGATTGACAAAACAATTATACTGACATTTCTGATGAGAAGAAGGTCGCACCAACTCTCCATTTCTATTCCTCTGCTCTGTCAGCTGGAACCGCACTTTATGGAAGAACCGAGCCAGTGCCACTTGTACTTGATCTGTGCTAGTGCGCTCTGTAAATCGGCGAGTGGAAAACGTTATAACAAGTTAGAGTAATTCTCAGAGTGACAGATAGAGCGTTATTGTCATTTTCGATTCAGTGGAATTACGATGAAAAACTCCCAACTACAGATGCGATACAGATGAGTTATTGCCAACGAAGTCTTAAGAAAGGTATGAGGAACACTACACGGAACTTATTGAATGGTGCAAGGTGCAATAGTGAAAAAGTGAAACACCAGATGAAGAAGAATCATTTTTGGCTCACCTACATAATGCTTCAAACGGTAGACACAATATAGATTCATCACTAATCATTAGAAGATAGAGAATATATCACTATTGTTAGTTGTTTTTATTTGCAGGAATAATTGACTGAACAAATCAATCAATTTCCTACGCTTGTAGAAAAAATATTGTTCTTAACTCATGCGTCGTTCGGGTTAACGGCATTCGCGTACGTGAAAGTATCACTTTTCGCACAACAGGAAAATTATTATTATTACATGCCTTTGCGATATATATCATTTCGTTATCAGATGACGGTCGCCAATTGTACCCGGCTCTTGTACTATTGTGATCAATAATTTCCATGCGATGAGAGTAGTGAGATTTCGAGATCATATTGTCAATTAATGGTATTATCATCAAATGATTGTTTATTGTTTCGAATATACCCAATGAATTTCCTATTTGATGAAAATTGCAACGTATTTCATTGATTCGACTTTTTACTGTTCCGTTCTCTATAACATTATATTCATCCCAAACATATTATCCATCCAATTGAAAACACAATATATACCTATTTGGATTTCACTTGCGAAGTAAAGATGTATCATATCTGTTTGCGAAAGAGATGAGGGTACTTACTTATGGATGCTCTGAATAACTCTCTTCGAATATCTCGAAAGAGTTTCTACTACTATTCTTAACTTCTGGAATATTTTTCAACGTGATTGACCTACTCTGTGCTAAGCTTTGACCCAGTTTCCAGAAGCTTATGTATACACAGTACTCATGATCGACTATCATAAAATGAAATAAAAAATGATGAACAAGAGATATATGGAAAAGGAATATTCTCAAATATATTTATGAACACAAAAAAAATGGATATATATATATATATATATATATAAATGAAGAAATACATTGAGAATTCGCTTCCTCCATGTGATGCAAATATTAATTTCTTCTCGGTTTATTCAAGAGAAATCAACTACTTTTCTGGCTATATGCCACGACAAACATCTTTTGAACACACACGAATAGAATTTGATAAAAAATATCTTCTGAAGTAGAGAATTTGCATGCTCCTTCATATAAAGATATGCATATTATAATATCATTCTGAATATTCAACAGAAAACAACTACTTTGCTGGCTATCTCATTTTCAAATTCTTATCGTGTGTTCAATAGATGTAATTCAATGTTCGTCGTGGCATATAGCCAGGAAAGTAGTCGTTTTTTGTTGAATAAACCGAGAAAGAAAATGAGTAGAGCATTGTTGTACGATGATGTTCTAGCTCTTCCATTATTACTTCTTCCAGCCATTGTTAACTTATTATTGTTCAAGAGACAATATTGTTCAAGTTTCAATATTTCTAACGAGAAGTGAGTTCTTGTTGAGCTTTTCTAGTTAAAAAATTTTACAGAAAAAAATAAAATGACAGGGGTTCTCATCATATACGAATTAATAAACAATACGGATCATAACGGGTGCCAGGATGAAGCCAAAAATATGAAACAAATGAATATCCATAAGGATTTGGTGGCATGATACGCATGCGCTGTTATAGTAATCATCAAAGACATGCGTTTCGGTGGACAATGACGTTTACTAGCCTTTCAATCAAAGCAGTATGTGTCTGATCGTTTCAAAACTTTTCCCTATGGATAGTCATTTGTCTTCAAAAATCGGCTTCATGTTTCGCTATGGAAACAGAGATTATCCGTATTGATTATTAATACGTATATGGTTTTCATATGAAAAAAATCACACGCGATGCTCAATATTTTTTTTCATCCTCCCATCTCAAAGTTATTTGAAAATACTAGTTCGTTAACTCAAACAACGTCTTATCTTGAATACCAAATTTTTCAACATTGCATGGACACTTAACTGGGATAATGCTGAAACTAGCGAGTAAGTCACCTCCATTCAATATACGAATGACTGCCCTTGGTGAATTCTAGGGCATCTTGAGCAGAGGAAATTGCATTGAGTGTGCAGCTGATGGCCTTATTAATTCCTATAATGTCTGAAAATGGGTCAATATAATACTCGATGGTAGATCAAGGACTCGGGTTTATTACTCTACCATAATTTGATCTTGAGTTCGATTTACCTATAGTAGAGGATTCGAAGTAAGGTCGACCTTCACCTATCTGTTCAATGGGTGGAAATTATTTTATAGGTAAATTAGCATAAAAGAAATGAGTTGCCTGAAAAAATC